GGCTGGCTAGCCAGCAAGCTCAGAAATTTGCCTGTTTCTGCCTTCCAATGGGGTAATTGTAGGAATATTCATCCATGTCTAGCTTTTTAAATGGGTGCTAGGAATGAATTTCAAACTTAGGTTCTTATGCTTGCATAGAAAGTATTCTGCAAGAGATTTAAAGGATGATGTATATGGCCAGTTCTCTTAGGAGTATAAAGTTGGCCTGATATTTGTTTTTTAAACTTTGAAATGGAGAAAGCAATGTAACACAGCCACTCAGGAATTTGACAATATCATGTTTATGATTGTTTAATAAATTTATCCAAAAATATTTGCCAGCTATATTTATTACGGAAACTAAACTTTAAGATGAACTATCAAGCTGGGCATGGTGGTAGAACCATTCTATAGAACCATCTCCCTAGTTTTGACAGGTCACCTCTCCTACCCCTCTGAGACAGGGTTTCTCTGTGTAGTCCTGGTTGTTCTACAGACCAGGCTGGCCTCCAACCCCAGAGATCTGCCTGCCTCTGCCCTGAGTGCTATGATTAAAGGCATATACCACCATGTCCATGAGTGGTTGTGTTACATTGCTTTCTCCATTTCAAATGTTAAAAAACAAATATCAAGCCAACTTTATATTCCAAGAGAACTGGTCATACATAGCATCCTTTAAATCTCTTGCAGATTCAAGGAGGTAAGTAAATCTAATTCACAAGTGATGCTATGCTTTCTCCTGGTCTTAGATCAATTTGATAAAGCCAACCAAGGATAAACTGTTCAAAAAATTATGATACCAGAGATCAAACCAAAGGCTTTTCTCATGCTAGGCAAGTACTACCATTAGGCAACAACCTCAAACCAAGAATAAAAATAAGGGGGGGGGGGGGGAAGAGAGGAGGAACTGTGGTTGGTATGTAAAATGGATAAAAAAATTAAAAGGGCCAATGACATGGCTCAGAAAGTGAAGGCTTGCTGTCATGGCTGATTGCTTGAGTTCAATTCTTAAGACCTACAAGGTAGAAGGAAAGAACTGACTCAGGATATCCTCTGAAACTGCAAGTACATAAATGCACATGCGCACCCAAGTACATGCGTACACACACACACAATTTTTTTTAAATGTCAATGATAGCACACATTATTTCATCATGATCATGTAGATGAACACAAATCAAATGACAAATTCTATTACTCTTTCAACAGTTGGGAGTTTGGGCTTTAAAAAATTTTTGTCCATGTAATTTTGCAACTATTAGCAATTATGAATAATTTTGTACATAAATATTTGGTGTCTACATCTTTATACAGAACCTAGAACAACCAGTGAGTTTAGGATTATAAATATTTTTAAAGCATATGATGAATCTGAACATAATGGCTTTTTTTTTTTTGAGGGGGGGTTGTTTGGTTTTTTTGAGACAGTGTTTCTCTGTGTGGCCCTGGCTGTCCTGGAATTCCCTCTGTAGATCAGGCTGGCCTCAAACTCAAGAGATCTGCCTGTCTCTCCACCCCCTCCACCAGTACTGGGATTAAAGGTGTGGGCAACTCTTTACAGACTGTTAGTTGAATTATTGTTCTATCATTTTTACCGAAAATCTTTTTATTACTATATTAACTCAAAGACAGTATGACCAAAGAAATAAGAATTAATACCATTTGAATTGTATTGGGTGTGGTGGTACATACCTCTACCCGCACTTAGGAGACTAAGGCACGAAGATGGCAAGCTTAAGGCTGGCCAGGATTTCATAGTGAGACCTTGTCTCAAAAAATAAACCCAAACAAATCAAAACCAACTAATCAAAACACAAAGAATCCAAACATAGTAAGAGAAAATATTGAATGCACTAGAATTTGCACTGGCAAAGAATCTAATAATTTTACAATTTCTCAAGTGTTGAAAATTCCAGAGCTATTTACCATGTCTCTATTTCACAGCCCAATCTAGCTGTTCTGTTCTATATTCTCATTTGCTCTTGCAATGTGCTATGATAATTCAGCCATTAGTATCACAGGGAAGCTAATTATGTATTTTCAGCAAAGTACTTTATTATTACATTTCCAAGTTTTATTTGAAAATTTTTAGGTAAACTCAGAATCAAATTTTTAAATGACAGTTCCTTGGAATCTATTGGTGTAGAAAGAATATGGATGGATAGTATTTATTCTTTCCATTAGTGAATACTGAATTTACTTTATGCTCAAACTTAAATTGCATTACATATCCAAGTATGGCCATTCCCAGGTTGTAATTTCTTAGCTTTGTTAAGTTTGAGGATGAAAAACCTGTCTTCATTAATTTTTTGTTTTTTGAGACAGGGTTTCTCTGTGTAGCTTTGCGCCTGTCCTGGAACTCACTCTGTAGCCCAGGGTGGCCTCGAACTCAGAGATCCGCCTGCCTCTGCCTCCCGAGTGCTGGGATTAAAGGCGTGCGCCACCACCGCCCGGCAATTTTCTTAGTATTTAAGTGGTATTAACACTACTTCTAACCAAGGACTTTACTCAACTGTTATTAGTTCTGAACTTTTCATTTATTATTAAGGTATTATTCCTAAGGACATATAAATGTTATTTACAAATGAACATCACATCTTTTCCGTCTATCAATGGTAATACCTCTTATTTTTATACAATTTTAGCTTTTAGCATCCTTTGACTTTTCCTTTTGATAGCCTTACCATACAGACCAGGTTGAAATAAAAAAATAAGATTTTTCTCCCCAGTCTTTATTACTGGGATTACACATTAGGTGCAACCATACCTAGAATTTATCATTTGTAATCTAGGTAGTTCATACCTGACAACAAAGAGTGTTCTGTGTAAAATGACAGCAGCAATTTCTATTATGGGTCTGATGCTGAACCAAGCACTTTATATATAATATTATTCAGTTTCCTATTAGCCTTATAAAGCAGGCATTGCTAGTATCACTTTACAAATGATGGTCAGAGACATTTAGTAATCAAGCAATTTAAGGATATAGAACTGGTCCTCAAACAAAGATATGTGCTTTTTTTCTATTGCATCAACTTTCCTTAGTATTCTTGTAAACAAAACTTTTTGAAACATAACAAAATAATTCCTCATGATTCACACCTTTTAGTGATGACTACTGATTTATGTAATGCTTTTCTTCTGTTTATACTGATCCTGAAGGGCAAGGTGTGTTCTGAGAATATTTCTCATTGCTTGCTAGAGTGGAGGGTAGAAATGTAATGAAGGCTGGTGACTAACAGTGGTAATTCCATTCCACCGAGGACATGTAGTAACAAAGACAATTTCTCTCTAAGTATGTGAAAGCCAGGAAATAAACTGCTCTATAGTCTCTGTTTTCCAAGATTAACTATATACCTACACAACATATCCACCAGATAGAGGAGGTCACATATTCAGCTAGTCTAAGTACATTCTAAAAGCTGCCTAAAAGTTGACAAAATTGAGGGAGTTCTGCCTCAAAAATTGTTAAATCAAACCTGAATCTGTCTCGGTAGATGAACAAATTAAAATCTAGATGAAAGTAGAATTTCTTTTTTTTTTTTTTTTTTTTTTTGGTTTTTTCGAGACAGGGTTTCTCTGTGTAGCTTTGCACTTTTCCTGGAACTCTCTTTGGAGACCGGGCTGGCCTTGAACTCACAGAGATCCGCCTGCCTCTGCCTCCCGAGTGCTGGGATTAAAGGCGTGCGCCACCACCGCCCGGCGAAAGTAGAATTTTAATATAAAGCAATTACTAGTAAAATTCTTTTAATTAAATTCCACTTTATAATAATCACTCAGCAATTCTACAAATAATGGTTCAAAAAAAGCAACTCACAAAAAACAGAAAACAAAACACCCCCAAACAATACAAAAGTCCAAAGTATTATGTTAGTTGTAACCTGAACATCAGTTTTAGTAACTCCTTAACATGAGTTTTAGTAACTAATTTGTTTTGTAATATTTTCTGTTGAGACAGGGTCTTGCTATGTACCCCAGCCTTGAACCTGCAGCAATCCTATTGTCTTATTTTGCTTCCCAAGTGGTGGGTGTATCACTATACCTGGCTATGGTAGGTTTTGAAAATATAGTATTCAGAAAACTGATTTATAGGTAAGCTTATGGAAACCACTGAGAATGGTTTACTTTATTTATTTCTTTGTCTGAGTCAGGGATTGAAACAAAAGCTAAAAAAAAAAAAAAAAAAAAAAAAAAAGGTAAAGGTTCTACCACTGAGCCACACCCAAGGATCTACTAAATATGCTGATACTGCATAATTTTCACAAAAAGGAGAAAGTTTGATTAAAAAAAAAAAAAACTTGGCAAAATGTGAAGAGTGTCACAAGGATGGTGGTACGGTATATATATGAATTTGAGTGCTGGGGAGGATGAGTTTGATACCAGCCTAGATTAAACAGAGAAACCCTGTGTAATAAGTACACAAAAAGGGTATCAATGCACCAATGCTTTCACAGTTAGAAGCCTGCAATAAAACACTGTGAAAGACAATGGATATGATCATTTTTTTTTTTTCCATAGCAATTTGCCTCATGAGGATTTAAAGCCATGTCATCTCAGGAATTTTATAGTTCTTGGGGGCAAGTCCTTAAAAAAAAAACAAAACAAAACAGTAATGATTCCTCATAATTTAATTTTTTCCTGCCCCTTTAGCCAGATCCCACCCAACAAGCCATTTAACATTTCCATTTTTTCCTGAACATTAGTGTTCCACCACTTTCTACTACCTCCCCTTATAAAAATACAAATAAAGATTTCCTAAACTTACTACTTTAAACGTATCTAACCTTTTTTATAACCATTTCTGCTGTTATCTGTATACTGTCTAGTTCCTTCTTTGTCGTCCTGGGAAAACTGATCCCTGACTCGAGATCTTTCTCTTCCTCTGTAAAGACAGATGTAAAGTAACTATTTAGAGAACACACTATTTCTTTTTATATCAGAGTACCAACACTGAAATTTTTACTGTGAACCCTCAAATGATGACTGCTCATGTCAAATTTAGAAAAAGACCAGATACATACCTGCATTGTCTTTACAGATACTAGAAGAATTACTATTCTCATTACTTTGGTATAGGTGCTGTGTTCTAGTCTCTTGGGGCACAGATGATGTCTGAGTCATCCCTTCTTCCAAGGCTTGCTTTATCCAGCGCTACAATGGGGGGGAAAATCCAGAGAATTTAAAAAAACCATTTAAAACTATTTAGGACATCTATTTCAGTGCACTAACGAGATCACTACATACCAACTGGTGAGAAATGCAATACAAATACATTCACAGGGCTTCATAGTCAAGTGCTTTTGGACAGGGTCCTGCCCGTGCAACCAAGGCTGGCTTTTGCTGTTCTTTCCTTTCTCTTTAATGAAGATTATTTTTGAAATAGTTTCATGCAGCCTAGGCTGGCCTTGCTGTGTAGCTAAAGATGACCTTGAACTTATGATCCTCTGCTCTACCCTCTAAGCTAGAATTACCGGATTTTACCACTATACCAAGTTTTTGTGGTGCTAGGGTCTGAGCCAAGGGAGGCACTCTACCTACGTTCGCAGCCCTCACAGTCAAGTCGGTTTTTTCTATTAGGCAAAACTGAAACAGTCTGAATTATATAACGGGATCCTAATAACCAACAAAAAATGGAAAGCACTCAACTTTTCATATTGCATAGGATAGCATTATTGTTTAAAGATAGGCCTACATTTTAAAAAGTATACTCTTTAAGTGATAATGTGCATATGAACTTCTTCCCCATCAAGTAGTTTGGGTAAGTTATACTTGAGCAATGATAATCACTGGGGAAGAAAAGAAAAGAAAAAAAAAAAAAAGAGATTCTGTGGAAAGTTTGTAAAGAACACTCCAGTTACTTCTTTTTCCTTTAGTAGCTAATATGCAATCTGAATGGATGAGGAAAAACTAAAGTCAGAAGAAAACTTGCAAAAAATTACAAGGTAAGACTATGTATCCTATGGAAAAGGAATTTTATTATCTGTAATTTTGTTTTCTTAAGTTACACAGCTCTAAGTTGTTCACCATTCTGTGGTTCTCCTGTCCTGACAGAAGACAGAGCCAATTACAATAAGCATCAATTTCAGTCAGACTATCTCCGAATATGAAAAGATAAACTACTATAATTTTACACCTTTAGAGAACATATACCACAGGTAAATAAATATTCTCTTCAAGAGAGCAGTTCTAGAAGATTTGTGGTTGCTGGAATCTTAGACCTTGAGACAAACCCAGGAAATTTTACTATGAAATATCCTCTATCATGTTAATATCTTTGTTTACCAAATTGAAGAAAAAAAAGTAAACAGAGATGAGCAAATGGGTATAGGAAAAAAAAAAGGATATCCAGAGTCACTTGAATCACATTAATATTATAGGACATGACAGTATGTGAAAAGCCAAAATCAAGAGTGACATGCTCTCTTACACAGAGTATCAACAAACAGGCTATCAGAAGCATAGATCCTCTCTCACACAGAGTACCAACACATACAGGCTATCAGAAGCACAGTTCCTTAGAATGTAGAGGAGGCCTCTGAGGTCATCTTGGTCTAAAGTTCTTTTTCATAACTGGGTGAAAACTATCCTGGGAGTACAAGTGGAAAATCCTTTGTTATAAATATATGTTTTTATTTACATTATATGCAAGTTATTTCAAATTTATTTTTCTGTACAAAGCAGAAGACAAGAACTCAAATTTGAGATTTCGATACTCCACCCCCAAAAAATTAAAGGAAAAAAAAGGTTATTAAAGTATTTTCAGTATCTGGAAACTATCTAAGAGTTTGCATTCTAGAACTTAAAAGACTACAAAAAAGGGAGCATAAAACTAGATGGGACATAGAGAAGTAAGATGTTGCTAGGCTTGCCTTCAAAGCTAAACACAACCATTACCATTATAAAAAAGGAATATGACCATTTCTTTGTGCTGAACAAGTTAACACCCCATAGATAAGAGATAACTTTTAAATTCTTGTTCTTCTCACCTATGCAAATTCTATTTAGAATAAGTGAAATCTGAAAAAAATTCTATTTTTATAAACTATATTGAAAAGTTTTTTAGGAGGCCTAAAGATGTGTGAGGCGTGCGTGTTTGAAAAGGAGAAAGAACACTGAACTAAGTAAGTCATGGAACGTAAAGACCTAGGTTGAAACCTGCTCTGCGGATTACTAGAGATGCCTTACTTTGGGGAAATTTCAGAACCTACTACTGGTTCTGAGACAAAACTACTAGGCTTATAAACTGTAGCCAATAATCTCAATTCTATAGGGCTATTATACTGATGAAATGAGATCAAATATGCAAAGAAACCTAGTAGCATAGCACTGGAAATATGCCCAATTTTCAAATTCTTTTCTCAATGGGATTCAAGTGACTGGATCTTCTTCTTCTTCTTCTTCTTCTTCTTCTTCTTCTTTTTTTTTTTTTAAATACACTCATTCACTTATCCCTGCTTGCCTCCCAATTTCAACAATATGTTTATGTTTAAAGGAACAGATTAACAACCCTTCAGGGGATACAATAAAATAACAATACAAAACATATACAAAAGAGTCCAGGAGACCAAATATCCTTTACATATGCCAGGATGACTTTATACGGAACAAAGAGGGGCACTTACTCAAGGCTTATATGTTAATAAGAAACAAAAGAATAAAAAAGACATTAATTTGTGTATTTTTTTGGGGAACTGGACTCAACTGAATTTAGACACTCCCAGGATATTAATGTTCTCACAAATGAATAATCTGAGTACAAACATACATACAGACACAAACTTGTCTTATACTGCTTTTAACTTAGGAGGTCTATTGAGTTTAACGACTTTAACAGTGGGTCTATGAGTAAGAATATATATTGTTCTATGTGTTGGAAACGGCTTGGTGGTTTAGAGTACATGATGGTCTTGCAGACGACCTGGGCTTGGTTCCCAACACCCATACAGAGAGGCTTACAACCACCTGTAACTCCAATCAATTCAAGGTGATCTGATACCTTCTGGCCTCCAAATGTACCAGCTGTGCATGCAGTGCGCTTACATATATGTAGGGAAAACACTCATACATAAGAAAAAGCAGATGTAGATTTCTAGCTGAAAAAAACATAGTTTAGTTTACTCTGCCCAGAAAAAGTTGTATGTTGTACAATACAATCTAGATTCTTTTCAAGAATATTAAAGCAGTGATTTAAATTGAATTCCCATGTGTATTTTAGGAAGAAAGGAGGGTAAGACGGTCTTATGATCCTTCTGCTTCCACTCTCCCAAGTGCTATGATGATACATCTGTGCCACCATCACTCCCAGTTTATGAGATCGACTCCCACCTTTGTGAATGCTATGCAAACACTTTTCCAATAGCCACATCAGTGGCCACCAACCAATAATTTTAAGATTCAGTTTTAATGAAGCAGCTTTGCTATGATAGTCTCTTTCTAAAACAGTGATATGGGGCTGGGGATACAACTTGGTGGTAAAGTGGTAAAGTGCTTATCTACCATGTAGAAGAACCATGGTTAGATACCTAGCCCTGCTTAAAATAAAAAAGTGCGTGTATGTGTATGGGGGCAACTAAGGATGAGGATGGTCAGAGAGTCTTGGAGAATATAACACCGAGTTTGGTTAAATTAAATTTCTTTCAATCTGTTGCCAATGGAGATAATACAGATATCAATGTTAAACCAAGCTAGGTTCATGCCTTTAATTCCAGCATTCAAGAGGCAGGCAGATCTCCATGAGTTCGAGGTTAGCATGTTCTACATAGAATTCCAGGCCAGCCAGAATTATTTTCAGACTGTCTTTAAAGGCAAGTAAGTAAATAAATAAACTAAATTTGAAACATAGCCAGATAAAAGGAGCTCAAAAATTGCTGGCGAGAAGGCTTAGTGGGTAAAAACGATAGCTGTAAATGCCTGATGACATGAATTTGATATAAAGGTGGGAGAGTTGTCCTGTGACTTCCCCATGAAAACCACCTCCCCACACACATGGTAATAAAACAACAAAAACAAGAGCTTAAACACATGGATTTTTTACTAAATGTAAGTCATAGTTTTAAACATTTGTCTGCTTGTTTGCTTGGGTATCTTCTTGTTGGAAAAGCAAGATAGGAACAAAAAGATTGCAATTCTGCATTGTAATTACCAAGAAGACATTTCAAAAGTTAGTCTACATTATTTACAACAATCTTTACATTAATCTCTACTAATTTATCATCAATCTTCCTTAAAAAACAAAACAAAACAAAACCTAGATTAACTTTATTTTCTCTGTGAGTTTTTCCCCTGAATGTACATGTGTATGTGATGCATGCAGGTCAGAAGAGGGCATCAAATCTCCTGGAATTGGGGTTACAGATAGCTGTGAACCACCATGTGCATGTGGGTGCTGAGAACTGAACCTGAGTCTTCTGCAAGAGCAGTAACTGCTCTTAACTGCTGAAACATCTCTCCAAAGCCTCCATCAACTCTTCTTAAACACCAGAATAGATTTTACTACCTGGCTTGATGAAAACGCTTTTAAGACTATATCTACATCCTAATTTTCTTTGTTTTAAAGTTGATTTTCTTAGCATATACTAACTATGTACAGTAATGGTTCTCATTAGTTTTCCATATACATCCACACTGTATTTGAACATGCACTTTCCATTCTTTTTCTTTTTTTTTTTTTTCATTTTTCGAGACAGGGTTTCTCTGTGTAGCTTTGCGCCTTTCCTGGGACTCGCTTGGTAGCCCAGGCTGGCCTCGAACTCACAGAGATCCACCTGGCTCTGCCTCCCGAGTGCTGGGATTAAAGGCGTGCGCCACCACCGCCCGGCCCCATTCTTTTTCTTATTCCCCTCCCACTCTCACTGATCTTCCTTTTTTGTAACCAACCTGACTTCTACTTTCTTATTAATTTATTTGTAAACTTAGTGAACAGTTTCAAATTAGGGTTGTTTACAGGAACATCTTGCCAGTGCCTATTACCACTGAAGAAAATGCACCCCCGGGTATACACCTTAGGGAGAGATGGTATCTCTCTTTTCTAATTCTCAACACTCTTCATAAAAGCTGTTATGATTTTGCTGTTCCTTAAAAAAAAAAAAAAAAAAAAAAAGTTAAGCAGGGTGGTTGAGGCAGAGAAACCCTGTCTTGAAAAACCAAAAAGTAAAAAAATTAAAAAAACAGCTGGGCGGTGGTGGTGCACGCCTTTAATCCCAGCACTCGGGAGGCAGAGGCAGGCAGATCTCCGTGAGTTCAAGTCCAGCCTGGGCTACAGAGTGAGTTCTAGGACAGGCTCCATAGCTACACAGAGAAACCCTGTCTCGAAAAAACAAACGAACATTATTACTGTGTGTATGGGTGCAGATTTCACATCTATGTGGATGTTGGAGGGCAAGGTGTGGAATAGGTTTTCTCCTTCCACCTTTACCTGGGTTCTGGGGATGGAATCCAGGTTTACTAGGCTTGTGTGACAAGTGTTTGCCCACTTAACCATCACATCAGCTTCCTGCTATTACTCTGAATGAAGAGGTGAACAATGGAGGCGAACTAGGTCTCAGTTTTGCCATTCTACACTTAGGAATTCTATCACTTACTAAAGCCAGTAAATCATGTTTTCTTCTTTGTTGTTGGTGTTTTGTTTTGTTTTGGAGAGGCGATTTTGCTATGTAGCCCAGGCTGGCAACACAATAACCTTGTCTCAGCCTACTGAACGATGAAACAACAGGCATGCACTACCATGGCTGGTGATCACTGGTATGTACAACAAACCATCTTCCTTTTCTGATCATCTCTTCAAGATCCGAGACAAGCTAGTAGAGCTCAGTGACTTGGTGTAAGTGATTTCCCTATAGACACAACTGTACAACAGGAATTTTCCTAGACAAAATTCCTTTAGTAAACAGCTTTTCAAAAACTATTGCCATTTATGGCACTAAGTTGTAAAATCCCTTTGGCAAGGATCTCGTGGTCAAATTTCTCAGAATTTCTTCTATGTGAAAGCTTTCTCCACACAAACCAAGTGCCTGCATTCCTTAGGTAGGATATACTGTTACAGCTTCTGCAGCGTCATCTACTGACTGCGCAGCACTGCCCTTCCTCTATGCAGACTCCCGCTGCACTCCTCCCTTCCATAGCCTAGGCCACTGGATTCTTCAGATTCCCAACCCCCTAGACATAATTTATGTTCTTGGGGAAAGAGAAAACCTTTAAGTTTAGAGGAACTAGGGAAGACCTAGTTGGAGGACCTGGAGTTGGAGACTTCATCACATCAAATAAGCTACAAGCAGCATCCTTATGTATGTGGTGCCAGTGGAGGAGGGCAATGACAGACACTGAGGGAGGCAGCCTGAATCCAGATCTGAGAATTAGAGAAAAGGGGATTCCAGGGAATAGAACTCTATCTAAAGAAGAGCTAATCAAGTACGTCCTGTTTCTGAAAAGCACTATAGGTTTGAAGAACAATCTATTCCCAAATTATGTTTGTAAAATATGTACAACTTGTGGAAATTAATAAAGCATGTTCTCAAAACAACAACCAAATAACTACTGGTACTAGACTCAACTAGAGAGTCACAGTAAGACAGAGAGTCTTTTTTTTTTTTCCTTTTTTTTTTTTGGTTTTTTCGAGACAGGGTTTCTCTGTGTAGCTTTGCGCCTTTCCTGGAACTCACTTGGTAGCCCAGGCTGGCCTCGAACTCACAGAGATCCGCCTGGCTCTGCCTCCCGAGTGCTGGGATTAAAGGCGTGCGCCACCACCGCCCGGCCAGAGAGTCTTTTTACAGCATATTCCATATTCTCTAGGGAACAAGAAGTCTAACCCATTGTTATCTAATCAAGTAACAGGAATTATGGCAATTATGAGATAATTTTTCCTCTAAACTCCTTCAAGAAGTAACAGTGATTGATTACTTAGTTACAAGCACAATCTTGTCCATTTTTATGGGTACATCAGTGCTCTAAGGATTTGGGGCCCAGTATCATACATTAATAATCACAAATGACCATGCTAACCAGTACCACAAAACCATTTACAAAATACATCCATTCCATCAATTGCCTTGTGCTTTCACTCAGTAACCTGAAAAGCTTCCAGGTAAGACAATTCTGAATAGCCACATATTTGAGCACTAAAAATGAAGCACACATTCCACTTAATCATTGTGGCTCCTGATGCGTCAATGTTCATGTCTAACAACTAACACCATGTAAACTCACACAGTTATCTAGAGATTCATGAGCATCTAGACAATTATGCCACAACTATAAGCATACTGTAGTATTAAAACACATTTTCATTCACAGGAAGGTGGGCATGCGCATACATATGCAAACAACGCATACACATACCTTTTTACAGGAGCTGAATGTGCCATCAGGCAGAAGGGGCCTTCGACGCCTCTCAGGCATAAAGGGTGAGCCAAAGCGAATGTAGTGTTTGGGGGTGGTACAAATTAATGGGGAATGAATAAGACCCGGTAGCATGTTCAGGGTTGTTGCCAATACAGTTGGGTCAGTGGTGATACGTAAAGGACACTCAACAGGACACTCTTGCTTCTCTGCTTTGTCATTCAACCATTCTGTAACTAGATACTAAGGTTAAAAGAAAAAATCATTAATTAACACTGCATATGTAACAGCCATCTGAACCAGTAGTGTAGTTCACAAAGACAAACCTCATCTAAAAACTAGAATAGATGCAGCAACCATCACGAGGATGTAGGGTATCTTTCCTTTACTCTCTCTGTGCTCACAAAGAAAAAACACTTTCAGTTATCAGTGATTTAATTTCTGTCTAAAATCAAGTGAACAAAAAGTAAGTGGAATGGTTTCAGCTTTCAGCATAAACAACTTTTACCTAGAAGATTCAATCTAGTAATTCTAAGATTATTTCTTTTCTGGGGACTATAAACCCTCTTGTTTTACTAAGACACTCCTTGCCAGACTAGATTTATGTTGTCACTTACCTTTTTGGTTTTGGGGTATTTAGATGCAGCACGGATGACATGCGATCCAGTAGCTGATACCACAGTTGGGTCAGACCCCGTCAACTGTCTGTTCTCTCCTGAACTGTCTATATTTCCAGCTTCAGGAGGAGTTACTAAGTTGTTACTTCCTCCTTCATCCAAGGCAGCTTGTGAAAGCTCTGCCTGTTGTGCATTGGCCTGCTTCTGGCGTTTTAGTCTTTGGGCTGAACTGGTCCGGTACCGAGAAATCCGACTCTTGGGTCGGGGTCTAGAAGGCTTAGCTGGAGGTGGTTTGGGGATTGGTTTCTCTGCAGCTACATCCTGTAACAATATCAGGGCCAAAGTTAATTAGAAATTACTCTTCCCTTTTGTAGATACAATCTCCCAGGCTGGCCTCTAGCTTACATCCTCTTGCCTTAGATTCCTGAGTGCTGGGATTAGAAAAGCCACCCCTCACCCAGCATCAGAAATTTTATACCTGTTTCTTACTTAATCTATTTAAAGCATTTCTAAATGATAATGGTAAAAAAGAACACACACATGTGCACATACAAACATGTAACCATTCACACATAGAAATAAAAAAATCTGAACTGGGCATGGGTGTCATATATCTTTAACCTCAGCACTTAGGAGGCAGAGGCAGGCAGATCTCTGTGAATTTGAGGCTAGTCTGGTCTACAAAGCAAGTTTCAGGCCAGTCAGGGCTCTATAGTGAGACCCTGTCACGAAACTTTTTTTTTTTTCATGACGGGGTTACTCTGGGTAGTTTTGATGCCTGTCCTGGATCTCACTCTGTAGACCAGGATAAAAGGCATGCGCCAACACCGCCTGGCTACAAAACTATTTTTAAAATGTAATTTTTAAGTGCAAAATTTTATAGACTTGTATCACCTAAACAGACCAAAGCAAACGTTTGGCTAAGTTAACTTAGTTACTAATAAACAAATATAAAATAAAAATAGGTCAGAAGCCAGCTAAAGGTGACTACCTAATAGAAAGCTTCTTGGCAGGAAAGGCAACTCTTGTTTCTTTTCTATACCCAGAGGTTTTATGCTAAGTTTTAGTTACTGCTAAGTCAGGGAAGAAACAGACAGGCTTAGAGAAGCTCCTGAAAGAGGCACGTAACTGGGCTATTCAGAGTGTCCATGAGAGAAACCCAATGATTTGCTTTCTTCCCTTGGGGTTGGAGACTAAGCTAGGTGAGGCCTTCTGTATGCTCAGCAAGCATTCCGCACACTAAGCTACACCAAACCCAGTATCCAAACCAAATGATTCTATGAACTCACCACCTTGCTTATCTGGGAGACAGTTAAGTGCTGAGGACTTTGTCATTTAAATTTTGACTTCCCTTGCACCCCACAAATCAGCTGTTCAGATCAAAATGGCTTTACTTATTCTGATACAGAGCCAAGTTGAAAATACTTTACCATTCTAAAAAAAGACAACTGACGTTAGTAGACATACGGACTGTAAGAGTTTTCTCTCTTACCCCAGTGTGGGAAGACCTCCTTGTATTCACACCAGTGCTCTGTGGGGTGCTTGGGATGGCAATATTTGAGATGGGGTTGCTAGCTTCAGACTCAGCAGTTGCAGTTTTTGTCTCTTCTCCAATGGCTGTCTCTGAACTGCTGGTAGTAATCTCTATGTCTGAGTTGCTCTGTTCTACAGGCTGATCCCGCCGTTTCTTTCTTTTTTCTAAATTTTCAAAGGCATGCATGATGGCTTCAACCTTCCTATCTTCCCGAGTCTAGAAAAAAAAGAAGGAAGGTTAAACCAGATGCAGGTGCAGCTATTTTAGAAGCGACCATTAGTGTAGTTTATAACAACTTATTCAAGGTATTATTAAGGTAGCACATACATCGCTGGGCAAAATTTCAAAATTTTATTTTAAATATAGGTAACAGTTGTAAAATAAAGCAAATTCAAAAGCTAAAAATTTTAAAAACAGCTGAGCTACACCTTGACATGTTTTAGTACATAAAAGCAACCACAACCAATTTCTGTCCTATTTTCAGAGCTCAAAAACAAGGTAAATTGTCATTAAACTTTTTCTAAGCACAAGTAAACACACTTAACAAGTTACTTTAATCTATTTGACAAAAAAAGTAATAGGCTTAGATATAAAATGTGCCCCAAAGGCTTGGAACCCAAGTGATAAATACTACTGGGAGGTTGTGGAAACCCTAGGAACTGGCACCTACTTGGATGAAGCAAGCCAACAGGGGTGTGTCTTGGAAGGGCATAGTCTGTCTTTGGTCCCTTCACTCTCCTTTCCCTCTGCTTCCTGGTAGCAATGAGGTAAGCAATTGTTCTTCGCAATGAACTCCTGCTGTCCTATTTCTTTCTGCTTGCTTCTAAAGCAATAAAGCTGGCAGATCTGGACTGAAACCTGTGAAATTTAAGCCCAAGTAAACTGGGCTTCCTGTAAGTTGTTTTTCTTACACATTTCTGTCATGGAGATAAGAGGGCTGACAAAGTTGACTTTCTCCCCATCCTCCCAGGAATTTGGGATCGAACTCAAGACCTTGTTTGTGTACAAAGTTACTGTATAACTTTGCTATCACCAGCTCTACTTGATTTTGTTTTTTGTTTTTTGGTTTTTTTTTTTGGTTTTTCGAGACAGGGTTTCTCTGTGTAGCTTTGCGCCTTTCCTGGAACTCACTTGGTAGCCCAGGCCGGCCTCGATCTCACAGAGATCCGCCTGGCTCTGCCTCCCGAGTGCTGGGATTAAAGGCGTGCGCCACCACCGCTCGGCTTGATTTTGTTTTTAAATATAAAAATTAAAAACAAAGCAAGAAAATTCCTAATCCAACAAACTCTGGTCTTCTTCACCAAGTTTTAGGAAATTCCAATTGTGAGAAGGGAATATCTTAAAACCACTATTAGATAGTTACCATAAACTACTGTGTGTGTGCCTACATGTAGAAAAATAAGTAAAAACTAAAATGAAGTCTACTTTATGGTAAAATCCCAGAGTTGGGAGAAATGCAGAAACAGCTACTGGATGTTCCTTACCCTCCTGCTATGAGCTGGGTTCTCCTGGTCATCTGTAGCCTCATCTTTTTCTTCTTCCTCTTCCTCTTCTTCTTCTTCAGGTTTTTCTTCTGGATTGTCAACTTCCTTTAAGACAGAAGCACTATTAGATCATCCTCAAGCTCCAAGCAACATCAACCTGCTTTATTCTGGCATCATTACTTTCCCACCCCTTTCTATGCCCTATGCTAGGAACTAAGCCCAGGTCCTTATGCTAAGCAGACAGTCTATGAGTCAAAGGATGCTTTATTTTTTTGTTTGTACATTTCTTGAGACAGGGTCTTATTATACAGTCTAATGTGGCCTCAAATTCTTGATCATCAAGCCTCAGCCTTATAGATGCTGGGATTACGTGTGCATCACCAAACCAGGCCTTGAAAGGACGGTTCTTCTTGATATTATTATTTTTGTTTTCTCTTTTTTTTCTGAGACACATTGCGCATGCGCGTGTGCGTGTGTTTGTTTCCCCCCAAGACAGGGTTTCTCTGTCCTGGAACTCAGAGATCCACCTGCCTCTGCCTCCTGAGTGCTGATATTAAAGGCGTGCACCACCATGCCTCGGCTTGGTCTCATTGTTCTTAATATTATAAAATGAAAAGAAAACCCAAATAAGTATATTCATGTTGATGTAAATAGCATAAAATGTTTTAGTATGACGTCTCTAAAACAACTCATGGTAACCTGAGTTCAGACATTCTGACTTGGCTGGGGAGATTACCTCATGCTCACTGGAAACAGTTACTTTTTCTGGAACTTCTTGTGGTTGTGGGTTATGATTCTCTTCTGGAGCCTCATTTTGTTGCTCCATTTCCAGCTCTTTCCGCCGTGCCTTTCTACGTCTGGTTTCTGCTCCAATGGTGGGAAAGCTAGGAGGCGGTGGGAGCGGCAATTCTGCAGCATTGGGATTTCTTTTCTGTATAGGGCAGTTCCGGTTTCCCTTGTGACACGCACAGTCCACTTTGTAATTACTGTGTCAAAGAAACAACCAAATGTGTCTCAATGTTCTTGAAAACAGAACATTATGGCATATCATCCAATCACTTTTTGAAACGTTAATGTAATAATTTCCTCTGATGTTATCTTTGAAAAACTTAGGATAGGTATGATATTTCAATAAATATTCTGTTTTTCTGTATATCTCTACTTGTAGCCTATGTACAGAAGTTGAAAGAAAGCAAATCTCTACTGAATCAGTTCTCCCCACAGTCTTTTTTTTGAGACAGGGTCTAGCTGGCATGGAACTCCCTATGTAGACCAGGGAGACCTAGAACTCATAAAGATCCACTTGCTTCTGCCACCCATGTGCTGGGATTACATAACTTCTAGGCAGAAAATACATTACTCGTGAAAAGAATAGGCAAAGCAAAATAAGGGGGGGAGGGGAGTTGAAAACAGACTTTTTGAGTTAAAATCTTAACAATGTCATTCATTCATGCTTGTAAGTTTCTGATGTCTTACCAGTTACTATATTCATAATCAAATGCAATGGTGACTTCAGCATCCTTGGTGATCGCCGATACAGCATAGATACACAGGTGAATCATCCCATCTGCAATCATGTGTCTCACCTGTGTGAACAAGGTATCATTAGGATCGCCTTTAAGACCAAGTTTTCCATTAAGGGGAAAAGTTTGTGAGTCAAATAATTTCTGCCCATTTTGAGTAATCTGTTATTTTATTTAATTCCATCATTTCATTTGAAATTATTTTAAAGTAACGAACAGACAATTAGACTTCTTCAAAATGAAAAAAATCCAATAATGTTAGAAATCAGGGTAAAATTGTTTTATATTTTAAAGATTATCTGCATTCTGCTGGAGAATTACATTCCCTTAGCTTGCAAACAAAGCTCTGCTAATCTTACTGCACTTTCTGTGAATGCACCAAACTCATTAATTTTAGAAATGCCTAGAAATTCTTACAAAACACTATTTTCCAAAATCTATAAAAGTGAAGACAAATGGATTAGCTGGACCTAATAACAATTACTACCACATGGCCTTTTCTCCCCCGCAGTCCAATTTATAGACTTTATCTATCCAGTTTGTCTTACTTCTTACAAATACTAACTTGCCTCTTCTCATTTCTGTCCTCTCTAAAGAAATGTCCTTATCTCCATATGGCACCATACTTCTGTTTTTTTACCATTGCATTTAAAGATCATACAACTAATAACTACAGACCTTTATCTGGGTGAAGTTTTCAGACTGTTTCTTCAGTAAACGTGTCCTTTGGTGGTTCCATTGAAAGGGAAGTTGCTAAGGATTGCTTACCTCTGCATTTGGTGTACATGATCTTCTGATGAACCGAGCATCATTACCGAAAGTACGAGCATCCACACACATCTCTACACCATTGAATTTTGAGTAGAAGAGCACAAAGGGATATGGTCTAGGGATACAATTAAAATTCCTGTAATTCTCAACACAAACAAAAAGGCCACCCCACGACTACAAATGTGAATCATATGCTGACACAATAAGGAGCAGTCATTTGCAATTCCTAAGCTAGAAAGTACCACAAACTTGTCTGCTTCTCATTAGAGAATAAACACAAAGCAAGGAATGCTGGGCTTGGAAAGGAGTCATCACCACTTCATACACTAAACATTTTGCAGATTTATTTGCCCTTTCGTACCAACGGCAGACAGGCATGATATTATTTGAAACATTAGCTTTTCCTCAGAAGCAGCCCATCAAGTAGGATGATTTTCAGAGCAATACTGACTGGTCAGTCAGAACCATGCAAGCCCTCAGTGCTCAATGAATGACGTTCTTACTTTTTGAAGAAATGCCCATTGACCTCAAATTGTTGTCGTAACATGACTTTCCCACGATATTCTATTATAAGAGTGTCTAAGGCCAAATCTCTTGCAGCCCTCAGGATTTTCCGGTGCTTTTGAACACGAGTGACTCTCCCCAGCTGTAACTAAATAAAAACAGAGCATTAACATTTAAGAATAGCAACAGCAATGTGGTAAAATTTACAATGTTTTGTAACTGTGGAAAATTTTCAGGTTTTATCTGTGTATTATAGCTTGGAGATCAGAAAATTTTCATTTTGACATAGCTGAATCTTCCCAGGACACATGGTCCAACTAGTGATACCAGGAAAGGCAAGACCAGAGAAAAACTTACAATGTCAGTGGAGCTGTATCTACTCTATGAGATTAGTTTAATTAGCTTCCTATAAATCTTTTGTAATTCCTATCTAGGCTGCATTAGAAACTTCCATCTCCTTTATTAAATAAAGACATTTGTGAAATATATACCTTGACAGTTTAGTTACTGTAATCTGATTTTGGTCAACAATGATCAGCAGGAAGGTACTTCATTTGTTATTCTGTAAGGACCTATAGTTCCAACTCATTTTTATACTTTGGGTACTAAAAAAACTCAGTCTTTTAGTGTCTTTAATGCTTTAGTTCTCACCTGCATTTGGGAACCAATTACTGTATTATTACAGGCCAGTTCAGTCTTATTTATAGTGTCTAAAACAGCAGGTTTGCCCACAAATTCCTTGTTAGAATGTAGATGTTGCTCAAGGGCATTCTGTACATCCGCACTGTACTGATTAGTAAAAGCTTCTTCATACTCATCAGTCCATAGTCTTATCCGATTTTCCCAGCCCTCAGTGGTATTTTCATCTAAATTCTGTGCTTCAGAGGGAGAATTCTGTAGAAAACAAAGATCAAGTGAATTAGTAAGAGACCATTCATGAATATGGGGGGGCAGGACAAGCAAGACACTTGTTTTCACATGGCAACTGGCATGTTATTATAAGAGCAATGGACTGAGAATCAGGGGATCAGGCTTCTGTTACCAATGAACTGTGAGGTCTTGGACAACTTCAAGTGAGAAAACTTGCCTGCCCGCTTATAAAGTGAGAAATTAATCTAGTCAGTATTTTCACCCATTACTGACTTCATGACCATTTTCAGTCATAAAAATCAATTTCTTCATATCAAGATTTATATCAAATTCCTAAAAAAAATTTCATAAAAAAGCAAAAAGGATCTTAAGTTGTTATACTGCATAAAATTTCAAAATAGATTAATATTCAGCTGTGTTAGTACAGCATTACAAATGGTTTGTCTTTGTGCTAGGAGAATAACTGTGTTTTTGTGTCATCTATTATTTTCATTAGCAATACTAGTTCATAATCTTACCACCCACAGGAAAAATTACCATTTGGGAACATTGCTAAATGCACTTTGAATAACGTACTGTCATTCTATGTCATCTACCATAAAGAATTACTTATCCAAATGTGAAGAAATACCAGTTAACTTTACTGTTTTATTTTTAATATTTATTTTGCTGGTGTGCATGTGCCACAGTACTCTAGTGGAGGTAAGAGGACAGCTTGAGCCATGAGGGTCCCAGGGATCAAAGCCAGGCTGTCAGGCTTGGCAGACAGTGCCTTTACCTGATCAATAAAGTACCAAAACGAGTGGCTAAGAGTTGGGTCTAGTGGGAAAGCTCTTGACTTTGAAATTCAAAGTCCAAATGCTGTTTTCTATCCATTCTCATAGCTCAAGCTTGGATATTTAGGCAAGTTCTCATGAACTGTGAAGACAAAATTTAGTAACCTGGGGTTGGGGATTTAGCTCAGTGGTAGAGTGCTTGTCTAGCAAGCGAAAGGCCCTGGGTTCGGTCCTCAGATCCCAGAGGGGGTGGAGGAGGATTTAATAACCCAACTAAAATTATAAAATCATTAAAGTAAAACTTTTTTTTTTCTATTTAGATTTTAACACACCTCTGAGGATATGCTGAAACTATAAACAAAGTGACAGTTAATGTGAACTTTTCTGAGAGCAACAGATGCCTTCCTAAAGGTTTTGAAACTCTGGAGTTAGTTGCAGTAATTATCTGATAGTAGAAAAAAGGCTTTACAGTTGAGGTCTACAGTTAGCCCCCAAATTCTATGTAGGTCCTTCTTAGTAAATGAAATAAAATGAAATGTGAAGTTAAAATAAATTTGGCTATTCGAAGAGATCTATCTCATTAAAGAAATGATTATAAATGTGTTACAAAACACAGCTCAGTCCTCTGAAGGTTTGTGTTTCTGAAAGTTGTCTCCTATTCACACAAGAGGTGAGACCTTCACATTTCAGGTAAAATGTCACTTGCTATCACTGATAACATCAACTGGGGCTCCAAATAAACACAAGAAATCCCAATAAGTTCATCCTAACTTAAGACGTCACCATGTATGTAATGGTCAACCTAAGAGATTTAGGGATATGAACACTTAAAAGAACCAAATTACAACTTAAATTCAAACTGAAGATCTTGAATCCTAAATTTTTGGAAGGTAGGAGAGCTTATAAGTGAACAGGGAAAAGAAGATACGAGAAAGTATAACCAAAACTCCTTTCTGTTAACTTTTATAAACCAACCAGTACAACAACAAAAAACAAAACCAGTCAGTATCTAAAAAGCACATTACTTCTCCATTCTCCAACTCACTCACTCTCTCTCACACACATACATACACACACCAAGCCACATAAGCTCTACTATTTGATAACTAGTATTATATAAATCTCCACCAAACAGATAATGACAAAACAAAAGCAAAAAAGTGCTATTTCAATAAGACTACCTCATATTAACAACACCAATTTCCTGCTAAGGAGTTATCCTTCCAAATGGTGATTCAAAGTCCACATCAGGGAAGGTTTACAAGAGAGCCTGGCTCATCAGCCGAAAAAAACCTCACTCCTGAAGTTGAACCCAATCACAAGAATATAACACACTACCCTCATTTGGTTTAAAAAACCATGACTTATCCCACCACCACAAAGGCAGCTAATGAAACAGAAATGTGAAAATATTTCACAAAATAGCCAAGAAAATCCATTGTGGAGAAAAGCTCTATGAAAACTGAATGGCAACAATTACAAACTCATGAAAAGCAGACTACAAGATTCTCAGATCATCAATGTCAGGAAAGAAGCCTACCAAAATGCAAGACCAAACATACAACACAGCATCAGGGAGGTTACCCCTTACCTTCATCCGCAAGGACTTCCGGGATCCCTCTCGAAATGCCTATCCCAAAGAGGAAAACAAGTAGAACAAAACAAAACTTGGTACCAAGAATGACAGTTATACCCATGAGACTAAAACTAAGGCACTGTCTTATTTTCTCTGTGTAACAATACAATGGTATATCTCAAACTATGATCAAGAAAAAGGACAGTTCAAAGGCTAATGAACATAGATATGAATTCCAAGACTTTGGAACTAGACAACTAATACGTAAGAGCATGTACCACTTAAATACTATACATACCCTTGACAGAATGTAATAGTTATAATCCTTAAGTTGCAGATTATCAGTTTTGAAATTAAGAAGGAAACAAAGACCAATCCCCTTTACAAAGGGTGGGCAAGTGACCTGGGAGCAACCAAGTTGCTGTGATGGGAAAGAAAGAATAGAAAACACAAAAAGATTTCTTCTGGAGATCTTTTATTTAAGAGTATAGGAAAGTGACCAAGACACTAAGGAAACCGAGACCATTCAAGAGATGTTTTCTGATTTTTGGTGTTGTTTTGTCTAGATGCAAGGACAAACAATCAACCTAATAACATTGAGGCCAGCCATGTAACCAAGAAAAGAACTTCAGTTGCTTTAGGGCAGAGAAGTAGGGAGATGATGTAAGCATTGTGGAAGCCTAGACTTGAGGCTGCAACTCATACAGGATTATACCGGGTAGGGCTGGAATTCCATACCTGGGATGGTGGGTGGAGTAGAAGAAACTGAGACTATGGTGATGGTCAGGTAGGTTAGAAAAGAGTTTGGGCTATTTATACATAATATAAACCAGTTTATTTTTGAGAAATAAAGTGGCCAAACACTGGCATCAAATTTCTTTTAAAAAAACTTAAGTGTATTCTTGCTCAAAAATTTGAGCTATTTCAGACATACTTCTATTCAAGTTTTGTTTATTTATTTGTTTGTCTGCTTGCTTATTTTTTTGCATACCTTAATCTTCTTCGTCTTTGGTGCTGCACGACCCTTTTCTGGACTCTTTTTCCGCTTCTTGGGTTTGGTTCTTCTAACAGTTAAGGTGATGCTTGTAGGTGTGTGCTGTGTTGCTGTGTACAACACAGTGGAAGGAGAAAGCTCCTCATCCCAGCTTTCTGTTGCACTGCTATCCCCACCTGAAATAAGATGATTTCACAATTCAGGTACTAACATCAACTTCCCCCCTTCCATGCGTACCACATCTAGTAATTCATTACTCCTACTGTAACTCTACATCTAATAAGTCAACATAGACCCGATCTTTCTTCTGAAAATAAGATTTCTGTTGTTGTTGCTGACATTAAGTTATAAGATTTATTCTGTATTCCATCTATTTTTCCCCTTTAAAATAAACTACATTGTTTTTAACTATAAATGAATAACTTAAAGAAAAAGGAATACATTTATTTTTGGTGCTCACAAAGAATAATTTGACTGGTACAGGTCTATTATTTCCCAATAGAGCTATACAGTGGCTTTGTGGGGACTTCTTTATGTGAAGATAGTTATGTACTATAGGAGACGATATAAATCACAAAACATTTAGTCAAAATGTGGGTTTAACCCACCTTCTGCTCACCTGATATGTTGTCCTGCTTCCGCCGATGAAGTCTAATAACCTTCCCCCTGCTCATTCCCCTAAAGAGGGAAAATAAACTTAAAGTAGTCCTTCCAGCAGCATGCAGCATATCACATCATACATGGGAGAAGTGTCTCTGCATATACTACCCCCTCCCTCCCACCTACCAAATGTTTCCAGGACATTAAATTTCATATCAAATTCAATAGCTTTAACATCAATCTCTCATTCCTTGTTGTCAGCAATTCTCACCTAGTGCAGAGAATTCGAGCCAAGGAGCACTAAGGAATCATCTACATTAACAAACACAAGAAAGAATACTTTGAGCTTTTCCCTACTGATAAGAAACCCTAATCCCAGCAACCCAGGTTTGAATTTAAATAGAACAGGATCTTACCTGCACTTGTCACAGTTGAGAAGGAAGCCATCCTGAGAAAGACCACAAGGACACCAGGTAGGAACAGTCTCTCCTTCAGAGTTCGGGCTGTCTCCACAGCGTTCCTCTACGGGCGACGGCAGGCCATTCAGGTCAGAACGAGGGATGATCGTCTGGACAGGGGGAGAAGCAGGAGGTGTCGGAGGAGGAGGGGCTCCGTAATTATGATCCTGAAAATAAGATTTTTTAAATCAACAGTGTCCAAACACTGGCCCCTCTCTCCCCTAAAGTATGGTACATATGGAAAGAAAGAAGAAAGTAGTACCCTTTGTTTTTTGGCTTCAACCAGGAAAGTGATAAAACAAAATGCCAAGGTCAACTGGGACATAAAAACAAGAACAATGATGCAGGGCTAGACGTCCGCTGGAGGCAGGGAAGTGCAAAAGGGGCAACTTCGTCATGCTGCATATAAACATTTCAAGAAAGTCACAATGTATAAGAATGGATTATACTCCAGGAAGATCACTGCTCTGGAGAGAAACAAGTGCATACTCACAGCATAAGGCAGTCCTCGACACCCATGCCTCTGAGTGGTCCCATAATTATGAGTGGAATACACGCTCTTCTCATTAACTGCTGGACTAGCCTCCACAGATTCAGGGCTGCACAAAGGCGAAAAGCAACGCATGATAGCATAACACCTACTCTAATAGTTCATTTCCCATTCTAACCCCTTCTCTTTCCACAACCACCAGCCACTAGAATAAGAAAGAACTTTAGTGAAAGTCTGTTTAACATAACTAAGCCTATAAATAATAGTGTTATTGAATGTGGATTTGTGTGTAACATGAAGCCAGTACAGGCAGATGTCTCAAGGCAGGCACCTGGGATACAAGGTGTCCCTAATGACAAACACAAACGTACCAGCAGAGCGGGGAGTTTCCCCTAGAGAAGCCACTCTGGGCTGGTTTAGACTCAGAACTATTCTTCTTAATTGGATCTCTTAATACTTCCATGAAACCTCACATGACATTTGCAGTGAGTGAGATGATGAAAGTGCCTTCTGCACTGCCCCAGGGACCAGGCCCTCTTCCATTCACTACCAAGACAGGATACCCTGAAGAAAGTACAGGCAAAAACAATGGCATCTTATATTTATCACACCTCTCATCTTGAACCCCCAAATACCTTTCACATATTAAAATTTCTCATCCATCAAGGACATGCAAGCATATTCAAGGACACAATTGTTTAATAGCTGCATGATAATAACAGAACTTCAAAATCAAAACTTAACTTGGGAGTTAATTTGTTTCATGCTAAATAGTAACTGTAGCTACCATTATGAATCGCCTATTACTTGGGTCTACCATGTATTAATTCATTTAATATCTGTGATTATTAAACACAGTAAGCGGCATTCCCTTTTTATAGAGGGAAGTGAAGATGAGGTGGTGAGATTAATGATTTTTTCCAAGTTGATACGCTGATAGAGCCAGGATTTGAAACAAAGATGTCTGACTCCAAAGCCTCTTCTTTCCCATTATGCCTTGCTTGAAAGCAAGGACATTGTTTTGTCTGTAAACTGCATTTGAGGCCTTGCTAACCAGGCTCATTAAGAAGCTTGGGTTAGTTTTGTTTTTTGTTGTATCCTGGGCAAGTAGAAAATTAACTGCCCAGGCACTAATTTTTTTTAATTAAAGAACCAAATACATTCAAAGCAATAAATTTAACATAAGCTTTACTTGATAATAAAAAGGCACCCATGGCGAAGGATAAAATAGGTTTTAGAGAAGAATAAAATAGGTTTGTTTGTTTACATCAACTTTACTTGGTTAGGTTTTATGGACTTTTGAAGAATAATTAAAGAATGTAATTGTATGACTTGGTGGAAGTGAAATGGATTATCTGTAATGCATATTAACCAGAACAAAGATTCACCCATTAGCAACTCCAAAAATCAGTGTTAATGCAACTCCAGAGATCAAAGGGTTTTAGGGAATCAAATAATTCAGTTTGCTTCAAATAACCACCTTCCTGCTTCAAGATATACAAAAACCACAACACTGAGGAGGAGTAACGCGTGTAATTCAATGTAGCACATTAACTGATAAGTGAGGGATAAAGTAAGACTCTGAGATATGTATCAAACTCACCTAGTTTTATGCTCCACAACTGTGAGAAGGGGTCTTATTAATAACAGCAAAGGTCATTTCTAGGTGAGGGACTTAAGACAGAGGGAAGTATTCTCTGTTAGTGAGGTGCATGCACTTTAGTAATTGACAGGGTCTTCAAAATGGGAACTGGCAGTGGGAGTGGCTGGGAGGGAAATATATCAAGAATGCAGGTCAGTATTCTTGAGAAAAGGATGATCTGAACATGGGTCACTGAGGCAACTGGGGGAGTACAGGTAGGGTTTCCTAAATGAAACCAAAGGCAGACAAGCATTAATAAAATGAAGGTAGAATTTAGTTTCTGTGATGGACAGTTAAAAGAAAGCAATGGATTTATACATTGTTATTGACTATGTATGTTACTAAATAAGTAATCCATCCAAAGGGTTGTACATATTTTTAGGTAGGAGATTTTATACCATTAAACACATGGGGTGAAATAAGAGAGTTTATTAGAAATGAATTTTTTTGTGGGACAGGAAAAAATAAAAGTTGCATGAAATAAAAGATGGCCATGGAGATGGAGCTATGTTGGTTATATCTTACCCATCTCCAAACTGGGTAAATATGTACATATGCACTTCATGTGCAAGTCTAGGGAATAAAAATAAAACGTATATTGTGGAGGTTAACAGGCCATCCTACTGCTTAGTAGTATGTAGTCAAGCACAGCATTTAAAATATTGCTATGCATGTCTAATCTAAAATTTAAACCCATCTTTAATGATAAAACTTTACAATGTCTACATTGGTTAGGGATTAAACAATTACACATTGATACATACATTGATTTTTATGCATATTTTAAAATACAGATTAAAAATTTACAGTATCAAGATCTGGGGATGTAGCTCAGTAGAGTGCTTATCTAGCCTGTTTAAGGACCTGGGTTCAGGCCTCAGGACAGAAAAAAACAGCACACACAAAAAAAGGAGTATTATGATTGCATGTCTTTATTAGACAACCACTTTATGCAAATAATTATATCCTTTTTTTCTTCTGTGGCTAAAATGTTGTAACAGTTGGGCATACACAGAGAAATTGGGCTCAAATTGGGCTCACAACAGATATAGTCCATCAATTATGTTCAATGAATAATATGCAGCTTGCTACTATAATGCCACCTCTTAGAAAATAATTGAAATTCTGTCATACAAGAGATGTAAATATCTTTTTTCATTGTGTTATATCTAGAAGATTGTGTGTGTGTGTGTGTGTGTGTGTGTGTGTGTGTGTGTGTATTGTAGATTGTAAACTGCTATAATTAGAGTTAATAATCTCATGAGGTGAGGTATAGGTTTCTTTCTTGGTTAGATATGTTGCCTTTAATACCAGGTTTAATCTTAACAGTGCTTAGAACAATGATTAGGCATGATGAAGGACAAACATCATTAATAATTAATAGACTAGCACATAAGCTAAACGACTGACATCAATGCCCTTTGTAAAACTGCACAACAAGAAATGTGAAGTTGGTTGTGACCATAGATGGTATCAGAACTTTGGAGACACTGAATTAGAGCACTTAGGAAGTCCTAGACATGGCACTATAGTCATAGTACAGACCAGACTGCTTTCATTCATGCATTACTCCTGGTTTCCCCAGTACATGTGCATAGCTACTGTTATACTTTGAGGGAAATACTAGTGCTAAGAATGACTGCTTTGGGTCTTTTCCTTACCTACCAATTCCAAACTTACTCGTTTACCCTCTTTATTTCTCATAAATATTATTTATTTCTCATAAATATTAATGAGGTCTATTTATACATTTGTTATTACTGCAGTAGGTTATTATCTGACTTTATAAAGGCCTACAACCACTATACAATTGAGCTGGCTCTCCAATAACACAGGAAGACTTTTAAATACTTTGTTTTGGGAAAGAGTTATACAATTCGAAGTCTCAGCTAATGGTAACTAAATCTTGTTGGCATGCAAAAAACCAAAACCAAACCCCCCCCAAAAAAACCCAAATCAAACCAAACCAAACAAGCCACCCCACAAACCCAAACCAAAAAACCCACAAAGTAACAACAAAACAAACAAAAACTTCTACAATAAAGATGACCAGTCTTTCCTATGCCCTCCCCCGCCACCCCATTGTTATATGAGAAGAAGCTTAAAAACCGGCTTTCAATTCCGGACTACCCCAGAATACCATATATTACTTCCTAGGGTAGCTGCATGTCTTCCTCTTTAAGGAACCCAATAAACAGTCAACAGCAGGCAGCTTTATAAAGAAATATACATGCTCTTTAATAGTATCCTCAGTTTTAAGGAAACCACTATGAACAAGGGATGCCATTCAACCCAGAATTCTGGAACAGTTGCTTTGCTTTGCTGAAGGGGAAAGAATTCCCAGGGACTGAAAATGGCAAGAGAAACGGGAATTAGAGCAACACCCACCTCACTCAAGAAGTGGCTGTGGGATCAAGAGTCTGAACTGGACCTGAACATATTCAAAACACCAGGATTTTTCCAGCCCAGACCCTAATCCCTGGTACTGCCTGGAATAGACTTGGCTTCTGGGGGTGTGCTGCCCCCTAGGCCCCTTGGGTCTCTTTCGCTGGACTTTCACATCCTGGTGTAGTGCCACTTCGTCTTGAAAGGTAGGGGGCTTCCACTTCCTTTCTGTAAGCAAGGAAGATTGGGTACAAGGGAGGTAAAAGGACAAGAGGGGGGAATCTGTGAGCGGGGGCAATCTTGGACAACTTAAAAGAGAAGGGATACAAAAGGCTAAAAAATTTTAAACTGAGTAATATATAAAATTGTATAATGAAGGCCTACCTTCATTGTCATTTGGCATTTAAATTCTCCAAGAACTGAGTCTATTTTAGGGATTGGGCTTTTCGACAAATTCTGAATTCCTAATGCTGCTCTTAGCTGAAAAACAAGTTTGGTACCACTGACTTTGAAGGTCCTCTTTCTAGGCAACGAATATTGTAAAAACAGATGATACAGCTCTCCATGTCTTCTACCCCAGAGTGAGCTGGTTAAGCAGTTTGCCCATATAGTTTCAGCCCCTTTACTCTAGAATAATGACAAGTACATAGGAAGAGGCCTTCAAAGAAAATCAGTTGGAAAGGAAACCTCCTATCTCTCTTATCAAAATCATTAACTCTTTAGAAGGAGGTGATACACCTACTTCATTTCAATCTTCCCCACCCATAAAACAAAGGAAAATGTAACCACTGCTTTGCAACTTTGATTATATTTATGATTTACCCAGAAATCCCTCCTTTAAAGTTCCTTTCCTCCCCCTTCCAATTCCTTTGTCCCTCCAGCTGGGGGTGGGGGAAGGGCAAGCCTAATGTTTTCTGAAGTGGGATGGGTTTTAATTAAGAAAATATTACATATAGCTATGAACTGCTCAGAAGAAATCCATTCTCGCACAAACTTGAAGCAATCCTATTATCTAGGAAGTAGCACTTACTCTGATCCAGCAGCCATATCTGAGTAGGATGTATCTGGTGTGGTGACTCCCAGAGGGATTGCAATGCTCATGACGTCCAAGACAGCAGAGGGTGGAAATCACGGGGTCCAATTAATGGAGACTGACCACTCAAAGAGTGGGGGTGAGCTGCAGAGCCTCAGCCAACATGTTACGGACATGAGGAATCCTGTCACAGAAAAGGAAAATAACCACTGACCAGAGAGTTCTTTAAATTTATCTTAAACGGCCAGGTGGTGGTGCTGCACACCTTTGATCCCATCACTTGGGAGGCAGAGGCAGGCAGATTTCAGTAAGTTCAAGGCCAGCCTAGTCTACAATTTGAGTGAGTTCCAGGACAGCCAGGAGTGTTACACAGAGAAACGGAGTCTCAAAAACCAAAATAAATAAATAAATAAATGGATAAATAAATACATAAATGATTAAGCAAATAAAATAAAATGCTGCACAGTGTTTTTCAACTGTTTGAATAAGTCTTTTTGTGTGCTTGTGGTGTTTGTGTACAGTGTATGCATGTCAAGTGTGTAGGCTTGAGTGTACTCCTGAATGCATATGGAAACCACAGGAGGATTCTGGGTATCATCTTCTATGGCTCTCAAATCTTATTCAGCATTTTGGCTGGCCAGCAAGCTTGGTTGTCTCCCAGCACTGGTTAGAGGTTTGTGAGGCCACATCCTCCTGTCTTTTACATGGAGGCTGGAGATTTGAACTCAGTTGCATAAGTGGTATTATCCATCGAGCCATCTCTCTAGCCCCTTGAATTTGAGTAAGGCTTTAAAGAATAAATCTAGGTTTACTATGTACTCTACTTTTAAATTTCTATTTTAATTATTTTCTTTCCTGCCAAAGCAAAAACAATGACCTGCTTGGATCACTACCAACCACATGTTCCTCCCTCTTTAACTGCCTAGCAGACAGAGTTTTAGCAGTCTAGGATATATGAAACAAGTCTTAAGATTCAGGATGGTTATCAGAAGTATTCTAGTTTACTCCTTAATAGTTCCATTTAAACTTTTCCATAGGCAAGCAATAAATGTAGCTTTATCAACACTCAGTTATTTATTCTAAAGTAAACTCGGTAGAGCTCAATTAGTTGTTTATATTTGATCAGATAGCCATTTCTATGCTTTGACTTGTTTTTTAAAAATATATTTATGTATATGGGTGTTTTGCCTGTCATGTCTACACATTATATGCATGCAGTACCCACAGAGGCCAGAAGAGGGCAGTGGATCCCCTCAGACTGGAGTTTGAGACAGTTTTGAGCTGCTATATGGGTGCTAGGTATTGAATCCAAGGAACTCAAGAACAGCCAATGTTTTTAACTGCTGAGTCATCTCTCCAGACCCTCTCTGACTTATTTTAAATAGTCTTAACTGTCTTGGAGATGATATAATTATCCAAAAAACCGTATTTGTGCAGGAATATACACTCATAGATATGAATAAAAACATAAACCACAGGGTAAAGCTAAACGTGTGGGTACAGAGGATATACAGAAATCTGTACTTCCTGCTCAATTTTGCTGTGATTTAACAACTGCTTTAAAAAAGTGTACACGAGTACTTTTCCTCTCTGAAAGATAACATAAACTCTATAAACATTTCATGACAAAGATTAGAGATTTTGTGTTTAAAAAAGCAATGAACATACATACTGATTTGATAACCAAAAATTGGTATTATTTAAGAATAAAAAATTCATTGAATAGTAAGTACAAAAAAAAAAAACCAAATTAAGGAAGGCATTTGGAGAGCAGAATCTGTATGATTCACATCAGTGGTTTCATTTTAACATAAAAAGAGCCACTAAAGCATGAAACAAGAAGCATTTTTATGTGGGTGTTCAGAAGTCAATATACTGTCAAAGACCTAGACTAAAAAGGGTCTCATGACTGATATATTAATTTATGCTAAGACAACAGAAAAGTCAAAGCCAGGCGGTAGTGGCACATGCCTTTAATCCCAGCACTTGGGAGGCCAGCATGGTCTATGGATTGAGTTCTAGGACTGCCAGGGCTACACAGAGAGACCTTGTCTTGGAAAAATGAAAAGAAAGAAGTCAAATAATTATCAATATTATTACAAAAAATAGCTAAATAAAATGAAAAGTATAAGATACTGATTGAATCAATCCAGGGATAAATGAAGATTTTAAAATAGTTACTGATTTGAGACATGAATTTTATTTTTATAAATGACACAGATTAATGTGGCTAAGGAAACTAATTCTGAATGGTGAGTCCGTCCAAGATTTAAGACTACCTAAAGGTATTACTTTTGCACCATTAGTTCATAAAGCTACCACAGCTATAAACTAAAACAGTTTTCTGTAGGACCTGGGCCTCTTCAAATAGAGTATGGCAAAATACCTATTCTCATCCAACTCAGGGTGACACTGTTAGACTGAAAACTGAAATGCAAATGAAATCAGCTTCCCTATCAACTTGTCATAATTCATGATAGATGTGACTGGTTCACTTGCTGTCTCTGGACCAACTTGCAAATAAATGTCCCTCCCCACCCACCAAGTAGTCAAACAAAAATTCTCAAACACCCAAGTCATTGGGAAAATGACATAAAATCTGCAAATGACAAAACAAAGAGATCACCTACAAATAAAGCCCAAAGGACATACTGAAGGATACTCCCTCTAATTTTAGCACTGTTAGATAATTTGCATTAAGGAAAGCCTGAAGTTCATCTGATGATCATAACCTCTGACTAGTCAAAGGAATCCAAATCATGTGTTCTATTTCAGAAAAGGCCTTAAAAAAAAAAAAAGAAACGACTCAATATTATTAACACTCTTTTGCTATAGTCACCACTAACATACATTCATAAAAATAAATATTATCCATTCAACCATCCATCTGCAGACACACATACCTAGGCCGATAGCTAATTTTTCCCCCTGACAGTATAACTTGAAAAAAGATATACTACCAGGCAAAAAATGGAAAAGTTACTTCATGTAGTACCTCCATTTAAGAATGAATAAATTGACCCAAGCAGTGGTGGCATACACATTTAATCTCAGCACTTGGGAGGCAGAGGCAGGTGGATCTCTGTGAGTCTGAGGCCTGCCTCGTCTACAAAGGGAATTCCAGGACAGCCAGGGCTGTTACATAGAGAAATCCTGTCTTGAAAAATCAAAAAGGGGCGGGGGCGGGGGGGGGGGGGGGGGGAGTTGGAGGGAATAAATTATTTCTACATCACCTAATGAAATCCTAACACAATTGCTGGGTGTGGTGGCACACACCTATAATCCCAGCATTCAATAGGCAGAAGGATCAAGAGGGGCCAGCCTGGACTATTGGAGTGAGACCTTGCTTTGAATGCAATGGTGAGATCTTACACCAGCTATCTGAACAACAGAGACATATCTTTAAGAAATACTTCTCTTCATAAGTTCTTTTTCCTCTTGTCTAGCTTTATGTAACTGAACTACTGCTACTATTCTGATGAAAGCAATTATAATAGGCCAGCTTAACCATATTGTTCTAAATCATGTTTCCATGATAATGAGGTTTCTTTTTTAAAATTTATTTATTTATTTATGTCTATGGCTGTTTAATCTGCATGTACACTTGCACACCAAAAGAGGGCATCAAATCCCATAGTTATGGGTGCTGGGAATTGAATTTAGGACTTCTGAAAGAACAGCCAAAGGTCTTAAGTACTGGGCCACTTCCTCAGACCCCATGATGAGGTTTCTTAACTCAAATTCTGGTAATATAAAAATTCTCCTTATAGTCCCTCCCCTGAAAAATGGTGTGACATGTAGCTATTTAAATGTTAATCGAAGAACTTTTACTAGATCGCTTATATACAGTCTTTTATTATAACACTTATCTCATGTAAGAAATCAGGTATTTGGCCGGGCGGTGGTGGCACACGCCTTTAATCCCAGCACTCGGGAGGCAGAGCCAGGCGGATCTCTGTGAGTTCGAGGCCAGCCTGGGCTACCAAGTGAGTTCCAGGAAAGGCGCAAAGCTACACAGAGAAACCCTGTCTCGAAAAACCAAAAAAAAAAAAAAAAAAAAAAAAGAAAGAAAGAAATCAGGTATTTACTCTGGTTTATCAAGCTTATAGTTACAGTAACTATTCATTTAATCTCACAGTTTGGAGATGTGTCCTGGAAAGAGTGTAAGAACTCTCTAGACAGAAATAATTTCAAGATATCATTTACTCCATTACTTAAATTCTTATCACCAAAACACCATGGGCAGGGATTATTACAAAAATGTATTTTTACCCACTGCTGTAGTTCTAATGGCCAGATACTACGTCTGACACATCAAGAGGGATCAAGAAAACATTTACTAAGAGAACTCATCATGGTAACCAAGTTCAGCATTTACTAAAATTCAAAAGACAATAAATGAAAAGGATTTGGGGCAGTCACCTTTGAGGTCCCCCCAGTTATCTGTCAGTAGCTTTGAAGACCTAGAAAAAGCTGAGACACAAATCAGTATATCAAAAACACTTGGGCTCACAAAGTACAAAGTGGAATCCTCCTACAGATTAATGATAGTTTTATTTCTGTTTGCTGTACTGCCTTGTTAATCTCTTTACTTTCCATTTAGCACCAAGCCTAACCCTTTAACTTGCATGCCCCATCGTGTGCAAAATAAACTAAGGGCAGAAAGGAAATGACCTTGATTTCCAAGGTGATCAGATACTGTATCTTTCTCTTCCCTTCCAATAAAACCCTGTTTCCCGAGGGATTCTCAAAGGTTGTTTTGTTTGTTTGTTTGTTTGTTTTTTGTTTTTTTTCCCTTCTCTTTCCTTGGAGTTCTTCACTGACCATACCCAAACTCAGTAACTTCCTTTTGAAATTCTGTAGCCCAAATCAACCTTAAATATATACCCTGTTGGCTCAGCCTCCCAAGTGCTATTGTAAGCATATGCCACCACACCTGACACAGACCTCTTTTCATCAAATACCAGATTGACTCTGGACAAGGGTCTAGCAAAAACATGGAATTATGACTCCTTTCTTCTCCCTCATTCTATTCCTGACAATGGGAATGGGGATGGGGTGTGGGGGTGTGTGTGTGTGTGTGTGTGTGTGTGTGTGTGTGTGTGTGTGTGTGTGTGTGTGTGTGTGTGTGTGTGTATGGGTGTGTGGGGGGGAGGGGGGTAATCAGTTCTACCTGTGGTGAAC